TGTCCAATGTTTCAAGGAGTTGTAAGTTGAGGAATTGAGTGAGCATGCTCTTGATATCAGCTGCACCAGAGGTAGAGGCAGTGAATTTACCTTGAGGGAGAGCAGGAGTGGGTGCAAACTGTGGGTGGGTATTGTAGCTGTCTGCAGAGTAGTGCATAGGCAGAAGCTCTTTGTGGAAGTTGTTGCACCTGGAAGTTTCAAAATAGGACATCTTCTCTGCTTGTAGAGATGTACCTGAAGGAGTGAGTAACCAAATAAAACTAAAAACTTGATCTTAAAGACTCTACAAACTCTAATGATTCAAACAGAAAACCCAATTGGCAACGGCGCCAAATTGACACAAGTGTTTTTAGGACTTGATCCAATCACCCAAGCTTGAACTAGTCAGTTGTAGTATAGCATAGGGTTTTATGTCAATCCAAATGGGTTTTGTTGAAAGCAAAAGAGTTGTGAATAGGAATCCTTAAGTCAAGCAAAGCAAAGAGAGTTTTTGTTGCCTAAGAAACTTATCTAACAACCTAGAATGATCAATCACCAAAGAGAATTCAAAAGAAGACAGTTTAGCTATGATCAAGAAGTAAAGCATAGCAAAATAAACAGAGTACTAAGCAAATTCGAAATTCAATAAAAGAGAAAGCAAGTTCCTAGATGTGGTTATTGATTTTGGGGAATCTAGAGACTAACTAAGGTTGTTTCAAACAGCATTGATCAAGCAAACAAGCTAGCAATGGTGGTTCATAGACATAGAGTTCACAAACACGCTAGCTAAGTCCAATCTCTTGTAAAATAGCCCTTTGCTAAACACTTTAACAAGAACTAACTCTCATTAGTGCTAAAACATCTAGCAAGCAATAACAATCAACTCTATTCATGTCAAAATGCTCCTCAACCCGTCAATCTCTTGAGCCAAGGCCAGCAAATCCTCTATTAAACAAGATCAGCATTTCACCAAACACTTGGTGGGCATAAGAGAAAGCCTAAATTCTAGATAAGTGTGATCAAGACAAATCTAGCTTAAAAACAGATTAATAGAGAGGAACCCATGAAATTAAACACTAAACAAACTTTAATCAATCCCTAAATCCCCTTAATCTACCACATCTAAGAACCCTAAGCAAACTACTCACTGATACTCATGTTTAACATCAAATCACAAGAGGAAAAGATGTTAATCATGATTAAAAGAGAGATTAGAGAAAGATTAATGGCAAATACAAACTTGTATTAAATAAAGCAAGAAATTTGTCTTACAAACCCAGAAAATAAACTCAAGTACAGTGTTATGAGGTGACTTCTCGAAAATCCCAGAAAAAGGGTATTTATACATAAAAGAAGGAAGCCCTCAAGTAATGGCAAAAGTGTAATAAAAGGCAGGCTCGGACTGGGTTCTTATCGGTCAGTTGTGACCGATAGGGATCATATCGGTCTGGAAGATGACCGATAGGGTGACCAAAATATAACCGGTGCACTGCTATCGGTCACTTCACTGACCGATAGGCCTGGTCAATAGGAATCCTATCGGTCACTCCTTGACCGATAGGTCTTGTGCCTTGATCGATAGGCTCAGCAGAGATCATCTGCCTTAGTCCCTTTTGCTCCTCTTAGCCCAGCTAGCTTCCTGGATCATCCCCAAAGCTCCTCCAATGCTCCTCTTAGCTCATAAGTACCTAAAAACATCTATAATGCATAGAAAATGCAAACTATATCCTAAATGCAACCTAAGTCTAAAAGGAGAAGAAAATGGGACAAAAGATAAGGAAACATGCAAAAGAGAACCAAAAAATGTACTAAAGGCAAGCCTTAATGGTGTAAATACAAGAGATATCACTCTTGAGCTAGGATAAACAATTCTCTTGCAAAGCAGTTCAGGCATTTCATCAAACACTTGGTGGGCATAAAATGAGCCTAAGATCCTAATCAACTTAGCTAGAACTAATCAGACATTAAACACAGCAATCAAGAAAAAAATGGAAGAATTAACATTAAGACATCATAGATTAAGCTTAAAGTTCCCTAAACCTAACCCATCTCAATTCCCTAAAAAAACTACTCACTAATCACCATCAAAACCATCAATCCAAAGAGAAAAAGATAGCTAATCATGATTAGAGAGATTAAAAAAGAAGATAAATGCAAACTCTTATTGAATTCAAGCAAAGATCCAAATTAAAAATTAAGATTTAGAAACTAAAGAAGAAGAGACTACTGGATAAAGAGATGATCCCAAAAATTAGGGATTTTTCGAATTTATATGGGTCTAAGCGAAAATAGCAAAATTATAAATAAATGGTCTTCAGTCTGGAATCTCATCGATCACAAGTGATCGATGGTCTCCTATCATTCTTGATTGATGGCCTCCCATCGATCACTACCTGACCGATGGTCCTGAGGAATGTGATCGATGGTATACTCGCTGAGATCCCATTGATCACTTCCTGACCGATGGTCCTAAGGAATGTGATCGATTGTATACTCGCTGCATTCTCATCGGTCACTCCTTGACCGATGGTCTTGATCGATGGCCTCCCATCGGTCTTGAGGGATCGATGGTCTTGAAGACTTGATCGATGGGGGTTGAGCAGTTTCACGAAACTTATGTATCTTTCTAACCACTGATGGTAATGACCTGAAACTAACTCCAAACGCAAGCTAACTCACGGGGCTACCACATTGATGAAGATTGTTGAAGCTGAATCGGGATGGAGATGTTTTGTTCGAGCCGGTTTTGTCAGGTGAAGTTTCTCGCCGCTTCAACAAGGTGCACCTTCTTCTTGGCTCTTTTGATGTCTTGTGCTGCACCCACCATCATCTCCCATGCTCTTTGTAGTCTCAAAACTCTCCAAACATACTTGCCAAACTCCTCAAATGCACAAAGCATGCAATGCACACCCTAAACCTACACTAAGTCCTAATTGAATGCAAATGGGACAAAATCAAGCAAAAATAAATGTTTAAAGACTATAAAACAATGCAAAATATATGCTAATATGGTGTAAATAATGAGTATATCATTTATGACTAGAGAGCGAGCAAGAGTGCTACAAGAGTACAACCCTCGTATAATTCAATTGTGTTTCAACAACTTTCCATCCCTACGAACGGCTTGAGTATCTCGGTCATTGGAGTCGATCGTGGGAAGATCGAGTTAAGCCTGAACCAGATTCCTTATTAGCGTAGTGTGAAGCTGGTGCTTGTATCAGTTTCACTGCCCTTGTAATGTTTGCAAAAACGACAAATTATCTCGGGATAAAAGTTTGAAATCATTTGTATAGTAGAGGATTTATGCCAGATTATTATGTTTGATATAAGCATAGAGAAGAAATCAATATGGATTTAGGAACAAGTTATGTAAATACAACACATATAAGTGGGAGTGAAGAAATAAGTAATGTAGTAGCAAATAGATATGTAAATATGGTGAACGATGCATTTTGTGATACCGTCAATTTTGATAACTATTATCATCAGAATGTAGAAGAACTGGTATGTAACTATTCAAAAAAATTCTACAACTTGTTAAAAGGAACGAAAAATCCATTATATGAGGGTTGTCATGAAAGTCATTTACAGTTATCTTTAGCTACTAGAATTCTACAAAATAAAGCATGACCAATTGACTTGGCATGTAGGAGATTCCAACAAATTCAAAAAAACGCAACAAAAATTCTTAGGAATATTAAAATATCTGAGATATGAGGCTAAGATGTTTATTTCTTAAAAAAATGAGGCTAAGATTTTTGTTAACAATGAGAGAACGTGTGCAAAATATTAATTAATACATAGTATTCAAGACAATTTAGGTCATCCTTTTGACTTGACCTAGTAAGTAAATTCCATTGCTCAGAAGAATCATTAGATAGCTTTAAATTTTTAAGACAGGAAAAAAGATTTCAACATTGTTACTTTAATGGATTATTTTTAATTAAATCAATATTAAGGTTTGACTAGTTTAAATGTAGCGGTTGCGGTAGTCAGCGTTAATGAGTGGTTTGTATAATTATGAGGTGTTATTGGTTCTTGTATTTTAATGGATTTGAGAATCCAAACCAAATTCAGTGTTATTGGTTCTTGTATTTTAAAATTTATATTGAAATACAGTGTTATTGGTTCTATGATTTTAAAATCCATAATGAAATACAGTGTTATTGGTTCTATCATTTTAGAATCTAAATATTATAAGAATTTGAGTTTTAATTGAATTTGAATGGATTTGGAAAGATTTTTCATGACTAAAATATAAAGACCCAAATACAAGGTCTAACCTTGGTATTTGAGTGGATTTGATTTTTTTCTATTTTGCTGATTTTGAAATCAATAAATTTATCAAATCCAAAGAAGATTTATAAATCCACCAAAATACAAGAACCAATAACCCCTACTTAGTATAGTGATTTGCAAAAAATTTCTGACCGATTGACTTGGCCGTCGGAGAACCTTCAAGAGGGAATACCCTGTTCCGCTTCTCTTGGAGGCTTAACTTACTCGTTTGCCAGTTTATATAAGGCCTAGCCAGACTTTTGCTCCAAAACTGTATGTCGCTCATTTCTCTAGAAGATAAGACTTGAAAATCCAACTCTATTACCTGGACGAACACACTTCCCTTTGTAAGCATTTTGTAAATTGCTTTCGAACAATCTCTTCGACTTTTTTCTATCGTTTTTTACATTTAATTAATTCATATAATTTTTTTAAAATTTGATGTAAAGTTATTTTTTATGAATTTGGTAAATTATTCGATTATTTATTTATTTTAATATATTTATATTAAATCAAAAATTTCGTTAATTTTAAGCTATAACGTTTTCTACTCCATCAAAAAAAATTCGTTGATTTTGAACTATAACGTTTTCTACTCCATTTAAAAAAATTTACCCTTTTTCAGTCTCATCAGTTACGTAAGTAAAAGCTATCATTTCTCCTAATTTCATCATTTTTAATACGTCATCGTCGTCATGATATTCAAAAATTATAAGCATTACATCATAAGTTAGACATCACTTGCTCGATCACTTCTCTTTTCTTTTTGTCTCTCTCGCCAAGAACCATTTCTCCAACTAATCATGTAGCCAAAAAAGTATATTTTTGTAACCGGTTTTATAAGAATAAACAAATATTCATGATCAAATATAAATTAAATCTCAACTCAGTTGCTTTTTTAAGGACAATGAAACTCTTGTTCATGACTATAACTTCTTGATACTACTCCAATTCATTGACTTTGACTTGGAATTGCTCTCCTGAAGACAAAACCTTGACACTGACTAAGCCATCTTCCCACTCTGTCTTCCCAACCAAAACCAGCCTTCTTGCGTTTACTCGAGACGCTCTCTTGAAGACCCATTTCAGCGGTTTACTCTCCAATACCAAATCAACGGTTTGGCCTTTGTCTCTAAGAGCGGTTGCAACAGTTGCTGCAGCTCCTTGGAGATCTTTGTCCAAAGCACACACAATGTTCTCTACTTCTTGTCTCAGCTCTGGTAACAAACCATTCTCCTTAAGCAACTACATGGAATCAAGAAGCAAGAATCAGAGATTCAGAGACTGTTATGTAAGCTCAAGAATCATAAGCAGAGAGTTTAACTTACTTCGACGATTACAGCATCGCCAAAACCAAAACCACAAGCAGGAATGTCATCACCTCCATAAGTAGAGAGTAATCTATCATATCTCCCACCACCACATATAGCTCTCAGCTTTCCTTTCCGATCAAATCCCTGACAACAAAAACATTTATAATCAATTGTTACCACAAACTTATGGACGAGTATAAGATTATGTCATAAGATCTAACCTCGAAGACGATACCAGTGTAATAAGCAAGACCTCGCACAACAGATGCATCAAACTGTATCCACTCTGAATAACCAAACTTTTCAGCAAGTGAGAAGAGATTTCTCAAATCTGCAATGGCTTCTCCTGCTCCACCAAGGGTATCTACTTATACAAATCATAAATTCTTATCACCAGAAAGTTTTCGGATATAAGGGATAAAAAAAGATTCAAATGAAAGGAAAATTACCTTCCAAATCATCCAAAGACTTCACAGAAAGCACTTTCAATAACTGCTCAATATCATCTTCTGATATCCCCGTGAACCCGAGTTCTTTCTTTATCTCATCGATTGGGATCTTTTCTATCTATTTAGCATAAAAAAATATGTAAAAGAACTGTTCAATGGTCGTAACAATCATAAAGCTGAAGTTTTTATTGCTTTTAGTAGATGAAGTAGCCATTTCAAAGCAGCAGAATATTTATCTTTAGGCTACTAACCTTGTCGATAATGATACACACTCTTCCAAACAGGTCTTCAGGTACACCATACTTTATTAGCAATTCTTGTAAAACCTATATAAGGAACAAGTTATGGCAGATGAAAACTACAATAGATATCAAGATGCTGCAGATTGTGCAAATATACCTTACGGCTTGAAACCTTGAAACCAACATCTGATGCAGTGATCCCAACTCGCTTGAAGAAGGTGACTATAGATGAAATTAGTTCTGCTTCAGCCTATATAAGAAAAGGTTTTGAGAAACAAACACATAAGAGGTTTTACATAGCAAGAAACTATAAGGCCTAAAAGTGAATGCAAGTGTGTGAGAGAGATACATACTGTTACTTCAGGCACACCTATTATATCCATATTCCACTGGTAATGCTCACGTCGCCTTCCTCTTGTCATTCTCTCGTATCGCCAACATTGTCCAACAGCAAACCACTTCAATGGAAGGGAAACAGATTTTCTGCAACAAAAAAATACACATTCTCACATTCATACATAGAGAAATTTCTAAGCTTTTACTGTTTTATTACCCTTTCTGTATCACAAGTCTGGCTAAAGAAGGTGTGAGCTCAGGCCTTAATGCTACACGACGATTACCCCTATCTTCAAAGCAGTACAACTACACAACAAAGTTGAAATAATTCAACCTAAAACTACAAAAAGATCTTAAAAAATGAAGCAAATGACTACTACACCTGGTCTCTAATCTCTTCTCCTGCTTTTCTGATAAACAATGCCTCCGTTTCCAACACTGGAAAGTCGATTTCCTCATATCCAAATAACCGTGATACCTTCAAAACCAAAGTAAAAAGATTGCAACTTTGAACACAGAACTCAAAGTCTTAACGAGCTTTATTGGAAAAGTTTTGAATGTCACAACACGGACCTCTTTAAAATAGCAAAGTAAAAAGATTGCAACTTTGAACACAGAAACGAAGCCAAAAGATAAACTTTCTTGGGAAATCGAGCCAAAAGAAGAATTGTTAAAAAGGAGAGACTTTCTTGGGAAAGTTTCAATTTTCACAAACACGGACCTCTTTGAAATGGTTGAATAGCCAGTTACGGAGACGCATATCATCCGGAGGGAAATCACGAGTTCCTTTAGGAGGATTAACATCGATCTTCTCAACGTCTTTGATCACCGGAGGAGCCACAATCGAACCAGACCTGCTTCCATCCGCCTTCGCCGCCGCGCTGATGAAACGCTTAGGGATTGGGGAATGGCGTGGCGAGCAAGAAACCAAGTCAAGAAGAAGAACAGGCCTAAAGCAGCAGGAGCTCAACCGCGTGGTCACAATGTGAATTGCTCGCATCTCTTCTTTCTTTTGGGAGCGAAATCGGAGCTAAACGCAAATTCTCAAGAATTGCTCTGATACCTTTAATGTCTTGATTGATGAAGAGGATGACTATCTGGTGAAGCTAAGAGAATCTATCTAGAAGCAAAATCTATTGAAGCCGAAAAGAAATTGAATCCCCTCGCTCCAAATCAGGAGTGGCGAAGGGGTTTGGTAGGTTTAAATCGGAAGTTTTTATAACTGAAGATTCAGATGAGACATTTCGGTGACGGCGTTGAGATAGGATTGGAACAATCTGATCGCCTGTGAAGCTGTCTTCGGCGGAGCGTCGCGGCGGCTGTTCTGTTCTGTCGGCGCCGTTGAATCTTATCTTTTATTACTATACTTGGGCCGGTTTTGTTATGTAATTGTAAAGCCCATCTTTAGATAAGGAGCCCTAGTGCCTTTTTTTCTACGGTTAGAAAATTTCATGTTAGGATTTAGAACAAAGGAGATATTTCTTAACCTGTTCGGTCGTTTTAGACTTTACGGTCTTAAACTCTTTATAGATCTCGCCGAAGGAAATATTTCTATGTGGCTGTGGCTGTGGCTGATTATCAATAGTAGAAAGCTAAACTGCATACAATCATAAGCTGATAAGTGATAAGCAGAAGTGAAGCCATTAGAAGCACTAAAACAAAAACGAATATGAATTGCAAACATCTTATTATATAAAAAAAATGTATCAAAGTTAGATATTCGTATGATCGTGACATGTGACGAGTCAATCGATCAGATTTTAACATATGTTACAATTAAATTATAATATATATATATATATTTAGATAAAAGATAACTTAGAACATTAATCTTACAAAAAAAAATATACAATTTGGAAAAAACGATGCTAATGAAAAGAGATATTTCAATTTGGAAAAGAAAAATAAGGTAAAACACTAATTTTAAAAGAAATATAAATAAAATATAATTCATATTTATATAAACACATAAAATCTCTCATAATTTTTCACCAAACAAAAACATATTTTTAAAATTTCATTCTAGGTATAATTTTGCTTCTTTTACTGTATTATTATTATTAAAACAATTTATACAGGAAAATATTTTTTTTAAAAAAAAAAAAACAAAAATTAATAAAAGAAGATATTAGGAAAATAAGCTAAAGCATTAATCTTAAAAGAAAAAAAAATACAATCCACGTCTATATAAACACTTAAAATCTCTCATAGTTTTTTCACCAAAAACAATAATACTTTTGGAGCTTCATTCTGTATAATTTTCCTTCTTTTATTGTATTTTTATTATTAAAAGAATTTATACAGTATTCCGAATTTTTATCAATTATGTTTCGTTCGGTATTCCAAAATTTTATCATTTAAGATTCATTTGCTGAATATTGTGTACATTTAAAATGTTTCCAGTATTTAATAATTAGACAATTTCAAAAATAATTACAAGTAAAATTTGCAAAGCAGAATTACATGAAAATGAAATCCTAGATGCTAATGTTGAGTTTAGTGATGAGGAGGATCAACAAAAATAATGTAAAAAAACTTTTGACAAGAGTTTTGAAAAGCATAAAATCTATAAAAAAAAGCAAAGAAATTATATAGGAGAGATGCATGTGGAGAAAAAAAAACATTGTTTGCTTGGAAATAGTTAATTGGGAGAGAGTTAACATAATTGAAAGACTTGAATTGCATACTCAAGTTTTTAATGCAGTAAATCAGAAAAAAATAATTGATTAAGTGTCGAACTACAAGTGAAGTAGGGTTAATATTGCTAAGAACTCATACTCTGTATTTTGAATATTTTAGTTAAAAACAAGCGAGAATCCAAATAAATAACTTTTAGATTTTTATTTTATTTTTTTATTGTTTACTTTTTTTAATCAATAATCTTATTTAATTTTCTTTTTTTTTTAAATTATTTTAATGAATTTAAAATTTTGTTATTATAAACCCGTATATATGCGGGTCCTAATCTAGTTATATATATATATATAATATATATTTAGATGCATTAGTTATTAATTATGATAAATAGTAAAATTTTGATCTAGATTCTGACGTATCTCATAGTTAAACTAAAATAAAATATAAATTTAAAAATATTATCACTATTTTATTTTTTTTAAATAAAAAAAAGTATAACTATTTAACAACTAACAACAAAGCTATGTTCCTAAGAACAACTTCCAATATAACAAAGGGGGGTTCCAAAAGCTATCTTTCCCACTACCAAGCTTTGTGCAACAAAGACAAAGAAGTATACCTACAATCCAAGGTCCTGAAGTTAAGGGTTTGCTTCAATAACCTTGTAACACTATGGCTAATAACATTGATACATGGATGGCAAATAGACGTATCAGGGTGCTATATCAGTTTGTTGCAACTGATATCTAGTCAAACAGGCCATATCGACGTGTTGCAAGGAATCTGTATCGATGTCACACATCGATATGGATAAGGCAGAGAGAAGTCTCGGGCAACCATATCGGTATGTGGAAACCGATATCAAGAAAAACAGGTTATATCAGTTTGTCGTTCATACCACAAACTAATATACCCAAACCTATATGACTTATCCAGGTAAGTCAATCCTTTCTTTAGCTTATATTGACCGATATTTTTGCTTTGTCTCTCCCAAGTATAAATCTTGAACTCGAGCCTCCCCTCCTTTACATCTCTTGCTTCACTCACCATAATCTCTCTAGAATCATCGAAATTCAGTGATTCAAAATCCCACTAGCTTATTTTCATTTGCTCTAACTGATTTTGGAGTTGTTTTAGGGCCTCTCTCACTTCACAAGCAAGGTATGTTCCCAGATTTCTCTGTTTTTAAGTTATATGTCACATGGTGGATTTTGAGAAATATTTGTTAGAAATGATTGAGGATTGATTTTAAGAGTTGGATTTTGTTTCTCATTGATTTGTATGATGATTTAGTAGCATTCTATAATTTCCATGGTGAAATTTGCAAATTTTGACATTTAGTGTTCTTGAGTACCAAAAAGTGTGAATATCCAAATTACCCTTGCAACTATTGTCAAATTTTGGGGCATTGTGTTGTGAATTCACCATGTTTATTTATTAGAGATTGTTAGATAGCATGTTTGATCATATTGAAAATTCTGCAAAATCTTGTTCTGCCAAAATTTTGCGAAGTATTGAAAAGTTTGATGTGTTTCTTTAAGGAACTAATTTGGTTGCAAGCTTGTCTTTTTTGAAGGTACATATGGGAAAAAGCTCAGATTGTAACCAATGCTTTGCCCAAGAAAAATAAGGGAATAGAGAAGAGATTTGTGGTACAAGAGGAAGAGGATGAAATTAGGAGAATTTCTCCAAGGAAAATTCTCATAACTAGTGAGATTCATCATGCTCTCATGAATATTGTGCACAAGGTGACGAAATTCCTTCATGTGGATAGATTGAGGGTGCTTGGTATCTATGAGGATGTGATGCTTATCTTCTCACACTTGGGGATGCAGAAGTTCATCCACATGGATCATTCAAGTTACAAGGAGTACTCATGCCAATTTATAGCCTCCTTGAAAGTGGTTGTTTCTCCTCTTAGAGAAGAAGGGGAGAGTGAAGATGAAGATGAATATTGATAGGGCTCAGGTTTTACCCAATTAATTTACTACTGCAAGTGCACAGCAAATTAGTTGTAGCATAAAAGGTTATCGAATCCCAAGGGAGTGAGCTTACTACACTAGCGATTATAGATTCGGATTAAGCTAAGCAGTAATAATTGTATGTAATGAGAAGTAACTAAAATAATGAAGCAGGCGATTTATTGATTGTTCTTAAGTTTCAGAACGCTAAAAGCGCTTAGTAAGGACAATTCGCAGGTTGAATCCGAGAATGTAGAATGCATGCAAGCAGGAATGAATTAAAACCGTCTTAAACTCAAAACTCAATAATATAACTAATCAATTCTCATTGCAGAAGTTATCTACGCCTAATTCACAGAATTTCAAATCTCTTTGCAAATTCTAACAAGTTAAGCAAGCATTAATGACCAGGTTTCGATTGTTCACAAAACTCATAAGCCAAATCTCTTTGCAAATAGGCGTTTTTCTCATCTAATACTAGTTCAGGTGATTAACAATGTTCTCACATCTATTAAACAACCTAGGGTTTCGAAATCTAGATAATTAGTCTCAGAAATCGATATGAATGCAAGTATATATGAAAAACTAATGGATTTTCCTAACAGTTTAGCAATTCTACAAACTCTTCATCAACCTTTGAAAAGCCCTAACTTAACTAACAGATTACTCAGACATGATCATGAAGACACAAAACATAACTGAATAAAACTGTATTAAAAGAATAGAGTAAAAGATAAAGGGGTTCGAAATCTTCTCTAAAAGAGTACAGGATCTGTCTCCCCAAAAGCTCTTAATAAATCTCTCTCTAAAGCTCTCTGAATTCTAAAATCTAAGATACCAGCCAACAATAGCTGAAAACCTATTATATACAATCTAAAACACGAGCTGTACACTTTTGTAATTAGTGGAACTTCTGGGCCAAAGTTGCAATTTCTTCTCCACTTTTTAAATAAAAGTCGCGACTCCTTCAGATACGGGTGACGAGCATCACCCTTGAGTGGTGACAATCGTCACCAAAGCCAGTGTAACGCTTCCAAGTTGCTAACTTCAGGGTTGATTCTTGCAATGCTCCAAAAAGCTCCAAAATCTCCAATTATGCTCCAGTCATGCTATAACATGCAAAGACTCTACTAGGACTCTAAAAAGACCAAAAAGACTCAATAAAAAGGACTTATACCATGGTTAAAAACCATAAAAACTATGATATATCAGACATGGATACATAACCTTCAAGCTTGGAAAGAAGCAATACAGAAAAAGCTTCAAGGAACTCAATGAGCTTTATGGATTCCAAAAAGGGGCTAAGAAAGGAAGTGCATATACTTTCAGAAAGAGGAACTTGCTTCATTTTGGAGGCACATTAGAGCTCTAGACTTCAAACTGCAAGGACTAAGTGCAGTGGCATCCTTGATCCAGTTGTTAGATATGCACATAAGGTGCTTGCTCATACCTTATATGCAAGAAAAGATACTGGATATGTGCTAAAGAAGGAACTTGAACTTCTTGATATAGGGTTGAAGAATATTATCAACAAGTCTAAATTTCCACCAAGGTTCAAGGCCCATCTCTCTTCTCCTAAATAGGATGTTGCATTACAAGAATTGGGCTATCAATCACACTGATAAGACTCCAAAATTCAGCGTTAGAGGGATCATCACTCCTATCTTAAAAACTTGTGGAAAAGAAATAGGGGAGGCAACTCATGAGATTGAGTGGATTGATATACTTTACTTGGGTAAGTCAAGGTTTCTAGTAGGACAAATGGGGACTAGTTTTGCCTACAAGTTTTCCTAAATTGGGAGAATGCCTAAAAGAATCCTAC